AAGTTGTGCATTTTTTCTTTTGTAAGTATTTTTGCTTATTTTCGTACCTTTTTTTACTAAGAAATGCATCACTTTTTGTGGTTGTGTTGGTATCAGAGTCCAACAGTTTAGCGATTATTGTTTCTGATTTTATTTGTGAGTCTGATGCTTCAATTCCCATTATAAATGGTTTATATGCATCAGTTAAACCAGCCAATACTATCGCCGTCAGCCAATCCTCATTTATCTCAAAACCAATTTCATTTAATTTATTAGAATTATCTTTAATTCTATCAATGTATGATTGCATGTTCTCGCAGTCTTCTAATCTGCAAGAGATCAGGCCTCTTAATAACCCAATTTTTCTTGTTAAGCCTTTGTCCTCATACAGATTTTTTAGTTTCTGCCATATTTCTAGCGCTGTTTCACATCTGGATATGTGAACGTACAGCGATGGCGCTACGCTTAGAGCTAACAGGGCTTTGCAATTAGTTAATTTCTCAGCGTTTGTTTCTGTGACAGGATCGGTTATACACTTATGCAGACCTTTGAATGCTAATATATTTTTTATTGCGAAACACCAGTTGTGGAAATTTTCCTGGCCTTTGAGTTTCTCTACTTCAAAACCCTTTTCCATTTTAATTGAAGCGTTATTTTATTTTTATTATTACAGCAGATTTTGCACTTTTGATTTTTATTTTATTTATTTAATTCCGACACCCGACACTACAGCAGTAACCTTGCTCTGCTACCATGTAGAGAGAGAATAAAGAACACGACGGTTTGAGGTTTATGAGTGGACTGACTGTTTAATGTATCAAGAATATGCTTATAAGTATTACAATTATGCGAAGCTGGTAAATAAAGTATAATAAGCTTATGAGTGCATTTTATATGCACATATACAAATACAAATACATATTTAAATACATAAGTATTTTCAACACTTTATGTGTCGGCATGGTATATTAATAGCTGCGGTCCAAGAGACGAAGTTGCACAGCAATTCAACTTTGTTGAATTGTGCCGGGTACAACGTGCACCGTCGAGATCGCGAGCGAGATAATGGTGGTGGCTTAGCGTTCATCACGCACCACACCGTGCAGTATCGTCTTATCGAAGCAGACATCGACCGCAGGGATACCACCCTAGAATGTCAGGGCATAGCTATCCGGTCAGGCGATGTCGAGCTCGAAATATTTAATATATACATACCCCCTGTCACCTGCTGCCCGGCAGGATATCACCCTGAATAGGTGCGCTCCTCAGAGGTGAAAACCGTATGGTAGTAGGTGACTTTAATGCGCACCACGATCTTTGGCACTCAAGCCTGTCAAACGATCGTAGGGGAACAGACTTGGCTGAGCAGATAGACGATTCGACATTCTGCACAATGAACGACGACGCACCCACCAGGATTATGGGTAACTGCAGTAGCTCGCCAGACATCACAATAGTCAGCGCTGGTCTGATAAACAGCATAACGTGGCGACCTATGCTGACTCTAGCATCAGACCATCTACCCATAGTCATCTCGATTGATAAACCAACCGACTTTGCCTCCGCCAAACACCGGACCTATGTCAACTTTTCTAAAGCTGACTGGAAAGGTTACGCGGAGTTTACTGAAAACACCTTCACATCGCTCCCCACACCAACCGACGTCCATCTCGGTGAACGTAAGTTCCGCAGGGCTATCACTGCTGCTGCAGCTCGCTTCATACCGGCAGGGTGCATATCGGACCCACGTCCAAACTTCCCTGCCGAAGCGGCTGTTTTAGCAAATGAGCGTGATAGCCTTCGTCAGGCCGATCCCGGAGATCCCCGTATCAGGGATCTCAACGCGGAGATTCGGCAACTTGTAAACGTACATAAGCGGAAGAAGTGGGAGGAGCATCTGAAGACTTGCAACTTCACCTCTGGTGTGAGCAAGCTTTGGTCAACCGTGAGGTCATTGTCTAATCCGACGAAGCACGACGACAGAGTCGAAATTTCCTTCGGCGACCATGCTTCGTCGGACCCGGAGCGATGCGCGAGCTATTTTAGCCGGCAGTTCATACTGCATCCTCCGGTGGACAAAGCCAAGCGTCGAGTGACCAGAAGGCTGCACAAACTGCCAACAACTTGTGCCCCCCTTGCTTTCACTTGCGGTGAAGTTCAGGTGGCCATCGGGAAGGCGAAAGCCTCCAAAGCCATGGGTCCCGACGGAATATGCATGCTGATGCTGAAAAATTTGGGTCCTGCGGGGGTAGCGTACCTAACGGAGGTCCTCAATTTGTCAATGGCCACTCTCATCATCCCAGACATCTGGAAGGTGGGGAGAGTGGTCCCACTGCTCAAACCGGGGAAACCTGCAAACAAAGGAGATTCGTATCGTCCGATTACACTCCTTTCCCCGGTAGCGAAGACACTCGAGGCCTTGCTACTCCCGTACTTCACAAATCACCTGACCCCAGCGAAGCATCAGCATGGTTTCCGTAAAGTGCACAGCACAACAACAGCACTTAACGCCATAAACACTCAGATAACTCGTGGCCTTAACCGTAACCGTCCCTGTGAGAGAACGATTCTAGTAGCGTTGGACTTGTCAAAGGCGTTTGACACCGTCTGCCATTCCACGCTACTAGAAGATATAGAGGCCTCCTCTCTCCCACAGAGGCTCAAACGGTGGTCGGCAAATTATCTAAGTGGTCGACATTCGTCGGTAATGTTCAGAGACAAAACGAGTAAGCAGCGAAAAATAAAACAGGGGGTTCCTCAGGGTGGTGTCCTTTCCCCGCTACTGTTTAACTTTTATATTTCAAAGCTCCCTCAACCACCAGAGGGAGTCTCGATTGTCTCCTATGCCGACGATTGCTCGATTATGGCGACTGGGAATGGAATTGATGACCTGTGTTCGAAAGTAAACGGCTATCTCTCCGAACTTTCTCGCTTCTTCACTGCAAAGTGTCTAGCCCTCTCCCCTACGAAATCCTCCGCGACCCTGTTCACAACCTGGACGAAGGAGGTCAGGCTACCGCTGGGGATTCACGTCGATGACACACCAATTCCGACGGTGAATAACCCCAAAATACTCGGAGTAACTTTCGACAGCCTGCTCTCCTTCTCTGCGCACTCAACCGCTATTGTCAATAAAGTACAGAGCCGCAACAAGGTCCTCAAGTCGCTAGCCGGCAGTACTTGGGGCAAAGACAAAGAAACGTTGCTGGCAACATACAAGGCAATAGGCCGGCCGGTTTTGAACTACGCAGCGCCAGTGTGGTCGCCTGGGACTAGTAGGACGCAGTGGACGAAGCTACAGACCGTACAAAAC